TATAATATATATTTCCCTGGGTATTCCACTTTTCAACTGGAAAATTATTCAAATATTGCCTGCCATGATCAGAAATATGACTCCCCTCTTTTATTTACTTTATCTAAGACCAATATTTATTTGCTAGATGTTTTTCACTTTTGTGATGTTCTGTGTTTGTTTCAGACAGCCTCATTATTTACCATGTATGTTGTGGGCTACATTCAGCCAAGCAAGTTTCAGAAGATCATTTATATGAACATGGTAACATTTTTAATGTTTATAAATCAAATATTAAAATAAGTTCCCAGAGTTTATAAAGTGTAATTAATTCTGTTTATGGTAGTGTTAAATACATATAATGTTGATGGTTTCCAGAAAGAAAACTGGGAATGTGCATTACAGATACCACATTACAGCACATTATACTTTCAGCTAGATTATAGATGTGTTGAACTCTCTAAAACATTTTTATGTTTTATTTTCATCTTTAATTTTGAAGCAGTCTTTTTTGCCTTAGCCCTGAGATTTCTAATACTTAGAGCAAATATGACACTGCAGTAGAAAATTTACATTGCTGCAATTTTGTTTTTATCTTAGATCCAAAATATATCTCCCTTAAAAACAGAAAAAATAATGAAGCTTCATCAATGATGGAAATCACGAAGTAAACAACAAAAATAAGATTAGGGAAATATAGTTCTAAGTCTTCTCTTATTATTTTGTTATTGAAACAATAGAAATGTTAAAATTTTTAAATCTTTCTTTGTGCAAGTAACAGATAGAGAAGAAATTTAGTTGTGCTATATGAGTTTATGATCTTGAATTTTAATACTTAGAAACTAGCAGTGACTTGAAATTCTGTTGGCAAAGACCTTCAATCTTATTTATACAGATGCTATTTCTGTTAAAAATGACTCTGTCTCCAAAGTATTCATTGTGTTATGCATGTAATAGCTGTAAAACAAGTGTTTTTCATTTTTCAGGTTTCAGTTATCCTCTGTTTTATTTTGATGTTTGGAAATCCAGTGTACTTATCTTCTTACTATTCTTCATCTTTGTTAATGACATGGGTAAGTGCTTGTTAAGCTCAGGAAGGTTTTTTTCCCCCTGTTGAAAGAAGATTTTGTTTAATACAAGTATAGGAGAATAAATAGGGCCTTTTCCTGATTATTATTCACATGAGAAAAAGTTTTCACAAATCGTTTTTCTCTTCCTCATCCTTGAAAAATAATATAGAGCACCAGTTTTCCTTTTCAGACCAATACCCAAGTAAATATTTAAAAAATGATCACAAGATAATGAGACTTACTTTAAAAACATAGCCTCTAAAAGCACTTATAATTTATGCCAACATGCCTTCTGTTTTCTTAAGTCACTTTAGTAGGGTAACTATTTATTATAGTAACTCGACTAAAACATTTTTGGAACTCCTTAAATTACCACAGACTTTGGTACATTCTTTTGAATATTCTCCATCATGTAAAATCTTCATCTCTCAACGTTGTATTTGATTTTTAGGATGGATCAAAATCTTCTGAATAGAGTAGATGTTGGACTGGGTGATGAAGATCTGGGTTAAAATGTGGTGCACCAGTCACATCATAGGACTGATTTTCCTGTTCTTAGAACTGAGTTATCCCTGAGGACAGTTTAGAAAGTGGCGTTCCAAACTATTTTGAGCAATGGCAAGAGAATTAGAATAACTATGCAGCCTCTTGGGACAACTTACTGTCATGAGCAGTGCTCATTTGAGCGTGAATAGCACTTACTTGTACGGTGCACTGATTGAATATTTTGGCCTTGTTCTTAGGATTTAACAGTTTGGGTTCTTCTGCTCTTTGTGCCTCAGAGTAATGAATCTCTTCACTCCCTCAACCCCCGGCAAAACATAAGCTTGCTTTTTCCAACATTGTGTCAAAATTTTCAGCATTACAAAATGGTGGTATCCACACACCATCCACCTTTCCAGGGGGTGACCCTGCAAAGCATATCCAGCATAACTCAGTGAGTGTTAGCTTGATTCAAGAAGTGGCGTTTTAGCCCCCAGAGCATCTAGCTCTCACTTTGAGGGCATTTGTCATGTCCCTGACCTGAAAAATCAGCAATTGAGCAGGAAAATGGCTGGTGGCAGTTGGGATAGAAGGGTGTAGCTGTGTAATGTTTGAAATGTGCCATGCATATAAAATCTAAACGTTAATAGTATTTAACTAATAATGGTATTTAATTAATAATGGTATGTCTCATGTATTTCAGGTGATAATTCTAAAGAGAAATGAAATTCATAGAATGGGAATATGTGAACTCAACTTTTGGGTGAGGGTCAATGTTTTTAAGTTTTTTCAATCTCAACTTTTTATTTCTATCAGTGAATATAGATGATATACTTGAAAAGTGATTTATATTTAATAAGCCTTATAAATAGCTACTGTCAAAGGTAGGAAATAGTCCTGAGCTAGCAGTCATTCTTTTTCTGTGGGTTTTTGATGTGCTTCTATTAAAAAATAAAACCATATTGAAGAGCCATAAGTTCATATTATATACATTATTATATACTGTATATCGAGAGAGTAAAACTAGAAAAGTTATTGTAAGATGAGAAGGTAGATTTCTACACAGAATACAAAAGAGCAGAATGGGAGAGTTGCCAGTTCTGCTTTCTAGAGGCAATCTCCTTTCCCTTAAAGTGGAAGTATAGAAGTATTTGACAACTCAGTTGTTGGATAACATGGCAATTCTAATATGAGTTGTTTTTCACTTCATAAAAATTGGGCAATTTAATAACTCAAAAGAAAGTTAAAATTTTAATTGCAAGCTATTGAAAAATGACAATGGATAAAACAGTGTTCATGGAGGTTTAAGGAATTTTGCCAAAGCTGTACTCAAAGAAAAATTTATTGTCTCAAACTGCATTTTCTACTATATTTTAAGCAGTAGATTAGAAAAAATAAGAACTAACTAAGCAATAAGGTCAATCATGTCTAAGAAACAAAAACATTGATGCATAGGAAATTTGGAAACAACACATACTGTTGAAAATATGCCTTATATATTTGAAAGAAAAAATATATAGTATCTGAATAAATCTAACAAAGTAGTAAAATATCTGATGGGGAAACATTTTTAAATCTTAAAATGTAAGGATTATCCAAGTAAATGGAAAATTAAGCCATGTTATCCATAGGAAGGCACCATAGAGGACAGTTCTCCCCAGCTGACGTTTGGGTTGGAAGGAATGCCAACAGGATTGCCTTGCAGGTCCCTTCCGAGGGAACAGTGCTGGGATCATCCGGTGTCTGTGCAGGCCAAGTTCACCTTATCACAGATAGAAGCTGCAGGCACAGCTGTTGTAAATGTTTTCCACCATATCCTTTGTCTCCTCGACAGGCGGTTGTGATCCCTGGGTACACTGTGTCTCGGCAGGATGCTCCGGGCTCACCTTGCGGTTGCCTGGCCCAGTCCTGGAACCAGCCCTGGGTCCTTGTCGTGGAGAATGGTGGCTTCCTCATGGCCTCACTTCCTCTTTGTTTTTTTGAGATGGTGACAGTAACTGATTATCTATCATCTATCTATCTATTTTCTTATTTGTAATTTGAGGTTTGTGCTGTTACTGTTTTTCTGCCTTTTAAGTCCCTGCTCTGAGTCCATTCTCAATTTTCCAGGCCTCTATTCACATACACTGTGTTCGCTCTCTCTCTCTCTCTCTCTCTCTCTCTCTCTCTCTCTCTCAGTAGTTTGGTACAGTTTGGGGGTCCTTCTGCTCCTCCCCCTCTATTGCTCTTTAAAGGTCTCCCCTTAACCTCTGCAGAGGCTTTGGTCAGAAACAAATCTGCTCCGTATGTTATTTCCTTTTCTATTGACAGGGAATGTGGAGTTTGTGCTGCTGCCCATCTTCTGCGTTTGTGGTTGTATTGTTCTGCATGTCGGATTTTGTGTGGAGAGATTTGGATTTAGACTGCTGTCATTTTCCTCAGGCTGTCCAGAAGTCTGCATTGGCTCTGTGTGCAATCAAAGGCAGCCAGAAAGTAACAGAAACCTTGCTGTCAGCTCTAGTGCATATTTCTCTTTTGAAAGGGAAAATTTGATAACAAATTTTCCTTTCTTGAAGAAGGAATTACATAATTTTATTTCCAAAAGAGTGATAGAAGCATTTTAATATAATGTTTTGAAATATGGATTTTCAGCTAAGAAATAATATTTGGAAATAAATATATAACCCCTATTATTAACAGAAATTGAAAAGAAATAACTTTATGATTTCCTTTGGGTTTATAATATGTAGAGCTCTTGTGTTCTTATATATTTTATAAAAGTATGATTAATTTCAGCTCTTTGCTGTTAAATAAAATTTTCTAAAGGAGTATTTCTTTTTTTTTTTTTTTTTGGTACTGGGGATCGAACTCGGGTCCTTGTGCTTGCGCAGCTGGAGGCAAAAGCACTGAGCTAAATCCCTGGCCCAGGTGTATTTCTTTTTGAGGATTTACCATATATACTTCAATAATATGGTATATGTCACATGATTAAAATCTTTCTGTGTCACTTCTAGGTATGATTGAACATTTTAACTTAGATAATTTATAATTTGTAATCCTGGACTTCTGCTTTGTTTTCTAGCTCATTCAAGGTTGTGCTTGGTGGTTTGGAACAATCATTTTGAAACTTCTGACAGCCGAAATCTTGGGGGTTTCAGACCATGTAAGTACTTTCTAGTTGAAACATTAAAGTTCCTAAAAACCGTGTAGCTGGATGAAAACTTGAAACAATCTATTCTTGCCACTGCATTGTTCAGAGTTTCCCATTTCTTCCGGGCTCCTGAGCTAATTATTAGCATAGGCGATTATAAAATCTTGCAGTTCAGTGATCTTTACAACCACTAGGAAAAAGTGTATCAGTGAATGCTGACTTAGTCTCCTAAGACAAAAAGCCAATAATTTGTTTAGCAATTATTTGTAATATTTCAGGTAAAATAAAAATAATCTTTTGTTTACTAGCTTTTCCATTTATTGCATATGTTAATATATGAGTGGTCTGTACCCAGCCCTAAAATACAGAACTTTGAAAACACTCTATAGAGCTGGGTGTGGTGGTGCATACCTGTCATCTCAGCACTGGGCTGGGGAGGTACTGCAGCGCAAAGGCCTCGGGTTTAATCCCTAGTACATCAAAACAAAACAAAACAAAGCAAAGCAAAGCAAAGGAAAATAAAACCTCTATATAGTTTTATTTATTTATAGTTATGGACTAAATTTATGACTTTATATTTTAAGGTGTTATTGTTACATAAAAAAAGAACGTTAAAATTCTGTCTTCTCATTTTGTAGAAATCGTATACAGATCCCTTATCTCTTATGGTATTTCTGTTTGTTTTAAGACTAATATTTTAAAGAATGGCTTTTTTCAAGGCTCAAGTTCCTACTTAACTACCTGGTTTAGGGACTAGAAAACAATGTTTGATTTGTAACACTTTATATTAAGAAAGCATACATGAGCGATCACACAGTACTGTAGTATGAAACTGACCTTAGCTGGTGCCATTCAGTGAGGGCCTTGTCTAGCACTGAGCTTACGTGAACTTTAGCACTGACTAAAAGGTCAAGTGTTGTTACTATCCAATAATACATTCGTGCTAATGTTAAATAAGATTTCTAAGTATAAGCATGTGTTTTCTGTTTATTGCTAGCTTTGAATAGTGGTATAGTAGATTTATTTGTTTTTAGTGTTCTCTGGTGTGTCTGGCAGGTTTCCCTTTTTTTCTTTTCAATTGTTATAACTTTTTATTTTGTAGGGTATAAGCTTCACCTAGGCCTTCTAAATTATTTCTTATCAATCAGTCTGATTTTGTTTCTTGCCTTGCTCTACATTCTTTTTTACAGATCTTAAAAGAAACACACACATCTTCCCTTGGTAGTTGCAAGTGACTTTCTCTTCTCTTTTTCATCTGACAGATATGAGAAGCACTTGAGATGCTAGCAGTCTACTGACTTTGTTAGTAGGTCTATTTTGAATTAGAAATACAAAGAATATTTCTAAATTACCCTTGATGCTGGTAGATAAGAGAAATTGTGAATAAAAAAACTGATAATGATTGATTAAACTTGTTGTGAAGTAATTTCTGTCCCTATCAAATAATTTGAATTCAGGCTGCACATGCTAAATATTTTCCTTTTCCTGGCCTGGGAATTCAGTGGAAAAAGACATCTCACATCAGCAGGTAACCAAACATCAGGTCAAAAAGTAACAAATGCAATCAGTGTAGAAGGCTTGTTGAAAATAACAAGGCATAGAAAGTTTGTGATTTAGTGTGAATGAAATGAAAGTGGTAATTGGGTTATTTTTCATGATAAATTAATGTCCTGATTAACTGAGTGGTGATTTCTTCCCCAAAAATGTTGATCTTACCTTCATCATTTTCTCTGCTTATTTTTAAAACTATTTCTATTTTTCTTTTCTTTTTATATTTCTCTTTAGTTTTAGTTATCTTGATAAATCAGCATATGGTATATTTGATTCTCTGTATTTTTTGTTTCTGAGACACATCTGTTTATTACTCTTATGTCAAGTCAGTTATTACTGGCTATAATCATTTGTGTAATTTTAATTCATTTTACTCTATTTTCTTCCAGATTAGCCTGACTGACCTTATAGCAGCCAGAATCTTACGGTATACAGATTTTGATACCTTAATGTACACCTGTGCTCCTGAAACTTATTTCATGGAACAAGCGGTATGAATATTTCTCTGTTTTTTCCTTGTGTATAGGTATGGTGGGTTTTTACTCTTTAGTTTTCCTTTTTGTGTGAATCTCAAAATTTTTACTCAGATATACCAAATTCACTTACTCTGTCATCTTTTACTATGACATTTGCTAACCATATGGTATCCTCACTTGTTTTATCTGTAAAGTCTATAGTAGGATAGTAGCCCTTGCTGTAAAAAATAGTTAAATATGATAATCTAGATAAAGTAGTTAATATACTATAGGACCCACAGTATATTATTACTAGTGAATTACTTTTAATAATTGAGGCCAGTTTCAGATACAGGGCCATTCAGGAAAAAAAAAAATCCACGTTCTTGTATTTGTTTGGAAGAAATGCAGTTTTATTGCATTTAGTACCCCAAATTGCATTAAAATTTTTAACAGGGTATTGCTGATGACTTTTGATAAGTACACAAAACTCATTTTAGATTTTAGAGTCTTAAAATACATGGCATTCTCCTTTATAAAAAAATGCTTAAGTGGTTAGGCTTTAAAATATTTACCTTCTTGTAGGACCATGAAATATAAGACCAGGAAGGTATTTTAGAGACCGTGTTGTATAATTTTTCCATTTTCAGATGAGGAAAGCAAAGCTTAAAAGATTTACCTAACATAGGACTGGGGATTTAGCTCAGTGGTTCTGGCGCCTGCCTCACAATCACAAGATCCCAATTTCGATCCTCGGTACCAAAAAAAAAAAAAAAAAAAGATTTGCCTAACATGCACGCTGGAGCCAGAATTAAAATTAGCACATGGGCTCTGGTGGATCCTGGTGCTCCCAAGCCACTGTGCTTTCCTCTGTCTGAGGTTGACTTTTTTCTTCATGGAACAGGGAAAGGTTGTCACTGCATCAATCCTTGTCTAAGAATGATGAATTCTGAATTAATGATAAATATAATATTGGAATTTTGCATTTTCTTCTCCATCTAACCAGTTGCTTATTCATTCAGAAACTTGTTATTGGCCACTAGTTAGCCATGAAGCAGTTTACTATAGGCCAGCAAAGAGGAAAATGACCTGGCTCCTGCTTCCAAGAAATATAGTTGAGTTATGTGGCAGGTCACTCCCTATCATGATAAGAAATCCTGAGGAGTATTTAGCAGATATTACTTCTGCATTTATCTATACTTCCAGTAATTACTTGGGCTGGCTTTGTTCCTTGTCAGCTCCTTTTTTTTCTTTTTTAACAGATGATAATAGAATTTTGCAGTGTAGGAAATGATAGTCTTGGACCCAGGGAGCAGTAACACACATGTTAAAATTTAATATTATGTAAATAAAGAAAATACAGATCAAATAAAGGAAAACATAATGGACTTAGCTAATTCTAGGTTTAATAGTTAATCTTGTTGAGCACTTGTATCAGAATGTGTAAGATTATAACTATGTATTTTACTAATGACAAAGACATTTTACCTTTAAGAAATACCATTGTGGCACTCGGTTTGACATAGATTTTTACTAAGTTAATATAAAATTCAGTAACTATTTTGAATAATTTCATATATTTCAGACTCCACTGAGATACATAAAGACATTATTGCTTCCAGTTGTTATGGTGATTACTTATTTTATCTTTAAAAAGGTATTTTCAAAAAATTTTTACTCACTTGTTTTTAGGTTCAAAATAAGAACTGTAGTGGATTAATGATAATTGCTCTGAATTCTTTATTTTTTAAATTGGTTAATTCTCTAAATTTTTTTATTCAGGTCTTTCTTTATCTAGTATTAAACTTGTTTTAATTGAGATCCACATTATTAAAACTATTTTTATTTATTCTTTCAAAAGATTTTGTCAGTCCCTCTCTCTGTATGGAGAACTACATTAATATTGTAGGTACTCTGGAGAAATAAAACATAGCCACCCCAATCTTGGGCAGTCCTGGAGGATGGAAAGTGGAAAGATTAAGCAAATAATCACACACATAACTAAAGAATTACAATTGTGATAGGTACTAAGAAAGAAAAATACGATGACAACTTCAGTATCTTTCACATGTAAAGCACATTCAGAGAAGTCTTGATCTATTTTGATTAGACAAGCTCAGGAAAAATTTGTATAAGCAGTTGGGTTTTCTTTTTTTCCTGCTTCTGTTCCTATCTACTCCCCCCTCTTCCTTTTTCTTTTTTGAAACATAGTTTTGCTATGTAGCCCAGACTGGCCTGGAGCTCACTGTCCTCCGGCCTCAGCCTCTCAAGTGCTGGGATTCAGGCATGCCCCACCACACCTAGCTTTGTATAGCCATCTAAATTATCTTTTTCAGGATATTGAGTGTTTTTACAACAGAAGAAAGAAATGTGATAATACAAAAGATAATCTTTAAAATACCACTGCCAGATATGCCTGGTCTGGGAGTGATGTGTCTGAAAGCCCATTTCATGACAGTGGGCCCTTAGGGATTTGTTTGTGTTTCTTTTTTTTAAACCATCTTCGTTAATATTGTTTACCAGTTGTCTTGCCTTAAGTCAATATGTATTTATTTTATACTTTTCAGCAGATACCAATAACATGATTTCTCAACCACCGTACCAGTTGTCATCCTGTTGAGAGTTTTCTGTATTTAAAGGCAAACTGCATATGACCCCATGCCACATGCCTCATTCCTTTGTTTTCACATAGAATATGAATAATTTATGAGTGGGCAGTCACCTCCCTGTACATCTGTGCTGTTTCCCCCCGATCCAGTTTCTTAGAGACCGCTCAGAGACAGTCAGGACAGAGTGTTACAGGTTCTAGGGTTCTGGAGTCTCCCTTTAGAGGTGTTTCTAGGTTCTTTTTGTCCCGAACAAAGAATTGGTCAAGACAACCACTAAAGGCAGCGAGGTTTTACATTTATTAAAGGTATGAAAAGAAAAGAAACATGCTCTGCAAAGCAAGTATGGCCCAACTAAAAGTAATAAAAGAAGTACACCCTGGAAAAAGCAGGGTAGGCCACTGAGTTGACAGTGGCGCCCAGCTCAGTGACAGCTGTCTTTTGTATCTCCCAGTCCTCAGGCTGACATCAGGTCTAGGCTGTCCTATCAAAAATCTGGTTGAGTTCTCTGCAGAAGAGTTGAAGATACCATTGTCTGATCGTTTCTAAGTGAAGGACTCTGGGAAATGTTTCGCACATGGTGTCCTGGAACTCAGTAACAACAGATCACACCCACTTCCCTGGCCAACTTGCCATGCCCTATTCTGCCTCAAGAGGAAATGAGAAGGAGTGAGTTAGGTGGGAACAAGTTCACTGCTCTCCATTCCCTGGCCAAAGATTTTTCTCAGTGCCCATTTCTGTTCCATCAAGGCCAGTTGTGGCGTTCTTAAGGGCTCCGCTTGGGGGCTAATGCGTGAATGCACTTTGTATCCTGCCAGGGAGAGAGAAAATGCTAGGTAGACCTGCTGTTACTGTATTTTTTTAAAAAAACTAAGAATCAAGACTCATAAACACATTAAAAACCCCCAGACACACCACAACCCCACAATCTACACTGTGCACGTACAGTAGCAATGGTGCACACACACACACACACACACACACACACACACACTCCCATACTCCCATCCCTGCATCCCATCCCTGCAGCCACCAAAGCTTCCTTCCTCTCTGTTTCCTTAAAAATCCTTCATTTTTATTTGTCCTGGTGTGGCTTATTTTCCCCTTCAGGGATACTGCTGATGCTCATGGAAGTTGTCACTTCTACACAGTCACTTCTTAGAAGGAAAGATGGCAAGTCTGGTGTGACATTCCTGTGACTACAGAAACTTAAACTCATGGAAATGACTGTTTTATCATCTGTCTCCTCAAATTGGCATCTGCTTGTCCAGAGGACTAGAACCTCGTGTCACTTCATGCATGCTAAATTATAGTATTCAAATGCATTTATGTTCCAATGAATCTGATACATTCTTCTGTGAAAGATGCTCTTCAATCAGTGAGAGAAGTTAAAAAGTCTAAACTCAGATTTCATTTTCAAGTGGAGTCCAAATTCAACTATTATTTTACATGTTTATCTCTGAGCTAAGCCACCTATCCTGTGGAGAGAGACATTTTAAGTTACTTTTAAATGTTTTGTGTTCCCTGCTGACCTCTCCTGGGGCAACTCCACATTTCCGTTCCACACTTCCTCTTCTCCAGCACTGACTGTTACCTGACCCATTCTGATGAGTTTCTTAAGCCTCCTGTAGCCATCACATTGAGTTGAAAGAGTAACCAGGGAGTTTTATTTGTCCATGGGTAATTCATTATAATCCAGAGTTCTGAGTGAAGCAGGAACATGGGTGAGCTGGATAGGGAGGGAGATCCTCATTTGCTAGCGAGGCTAAGATAAAACAGTCCCTGCAAGTGCACAGGAGAAGCTGCCTCCTGTGTGGACACCAATGTGCTGCCCCTACTCCCCTGCCCCACTAGTAAGCAGTTATCCACATTAGGGATGCTTAGGACTTCAGAGCTCAAGGGCACCTGAAGATCTATTCCAACACTCTTTATAGAACAGAGTTATCATTTACAAGGGCAGTTCACCTGTGACAGAGCTGGGACTGCGCAGTTCCTGAAAACTCACTTTAACATGAAAAAATACTTCTATTCACAGACTATTCGTGATGTTTTTTGTGCCTTATCTACAAACACTTACCTAAGGTAACTGTCATAGTTTGTTAAAAACATACCACATTAGTATTGAATAATTTAATGAAATATTAAATTTTAAAATATATATGTGCATTAATCTTTACCATTATGATTAAGAAAGGAGACAGGTGCCGTATTTGCATGTTTTAAGGAAAGACTGCTGCTCTTACAGATTTCTTTGTATTTTCACTTGTGTTGGAAATATTTATGTTTGTGAAATAACTAAAATTGATTTAATTTTAACACATAGAAGTTAAAGTCAGTAGACAGAAGTAAGTTACAGTTTTATTTTGACTATTCTTTTTCACTTTTAGAGAGGGTATATTTATTTGTTTTGCTGAATATTTATGAAAAAGTTTTTACTACATTTATTGTTAAATCTGTATTGTACCACAGTTTTTAGCGGTTTCAGGGAAGTAACCAGAATCAAGGCATAAACAAATGCCAACAAAATATAACATGATTTATGAAATAAATGCACATAAATAAATCACCTAAAAGACATAGAAAGCAAATTGTGACAGCAACTTCCTTTTGAGGGAAATGTTACCTCAAATTACGCTTTATATTTATAGTATGTCATTTTATTTTATGACCTTTATTTTTAAGAGCAGATTTAGATTTACAGAAAAATAATGAAAATTGTACATAGTTTTCATGCATCTTATACTCCACACTTTTATGTTTTTATTTTATTATTATTTTTTTTGGTACCGAGGATCAAACTTGGGTCCTTGCGCTCGTGCAGCAGGTGGTGAAACCACTGAGCTAAATCCCCGGCCCCTACACTTTTATTTTTAATTAGCAGCTTTGTGTGGTTCTCACAAGAGCTGACTAAGACCTTTGTTGAAGTCATGTCCAAAGAAGGGCAATGACAGACCCGCTGTACTTGGTTCTGGTCAGATGGGGGCCGGGCACCTTGAAAACAGGCACATAAGGACAGATCTGGGGTATTTAATTTGATAACAAAAGGCTGAGGAGCATGTGGCAGCTGTGTGGTGACCTCTGCTGCCCCTGGAGCACTCTTAGTTACATCTGCAGGTCCTTGTGCCATTGAATTTCTTCTGAATGCGGTCTCCCTTCTCTCTCCTACCCCAAATTCATATTGGAAGGCCCTTGCAACCCATAAAAACTTCTATAAAATACTCAGTGGAACAATTAAATGTATAGTCTCTTACCTCTTCTGTGAAACTAACATAAACTCTCTGAGGATAAGAATGATAGCTGTATTATTCCTGCAGTATTCACTACACAGTGAGTGGCTCTAGTATTTAGTAGATCCAGATCACTTTTCTGGAACTAAAAAAAAAATTTGTTTACCCAATAATTTTTATTGTAGAACTTTATCTTAAGGAAATATTCAGAGATGCTCACCAAGATTTATGTACAAGGATGTTCAGTTATGAAAAATCAAAATGACAGCAGTAGTTATGCAAAGTTTTATATTTATTGTACATATCTTGAATATTTAATAGAAAGTCTTTCTATTCATTTATTCTTCTAGAAGTACAACAACCTCTGGGAATCTGTAAAACCCATTTTGTCTTAACTAAAGAATAGCTTTTTGATTATATAGGATGACTATATGCCTTTTAAATTCATACAGTTTTTAGTAGTGTTATTTAATTTCTATCTTTATTTATGCTCCTGACTCATTTAGAGAAAATCAAATTTCAAAAATCTGAGGATAAATGAAGCTGTTCTTAAATAATCATATGTTAGGGCTGGGGATTTACCTCAGTGGTTTCGCTACCTGCTGCGCAAGCTTAAGGACACGAGTTCGATCCCCGGTACCAAAAAAAAAACCAAAACCAAAAACCAAAAAAAAAATAATAATCATATGGTATTGAGCATTCAGTAAATAGATAATATTTTTGTTTTATTCCAGAAAACAGCTCCTTGAACATGGTGAGGTAAAGGTCTTCTCATTTTATTCTCTAGTAGGCTACTGGGTTAAATTCTAGTTCAAAGATAATTCATGAGGGTGCTGCCTTGCTTGAGTCATTGAGCACTGGTAATGAATTTCTGTTGACTCTTCTCTCCAGGGTTTCCCACTAACATCTCAGCTTCTCAAGGGTGAAAATTGCTCAGAGTTGCATCTGAAGCCCCACAACAGTGCCTGGCCTATAACAGGCATTCAGTGGATCTTTGTTGAATGAATAAATGTAATAGGCATAGTAATATGTTAGATTTGGCCTAAGTACTAATAGTTTTAATACACTTTATTTGCTGTAAAATACATAAAGTGAAAGTGTCATTTTGTTTTGTATTTTATAGCTGGTTTTTCACGCATTGCAGTTGTTAGCATTTGCTGCCCTTGCCATTTTGATATTGAGACTGAAGCTGTTTTTGACACCGCACATGTGTGTTATGGCTTCCTTGATCTGCTCTCAACGGGTAAGGTGTCCATTGTTGTGCAGCTGGACTGTGAGAACTATAGCAACTTTGGTACAGTTACCGGGGCTTTGCTGAGTAATCTAAAACATAAAAATACTGTGTTTTAAAGTTAGCTAACCTAAATTATTTAAAATGATAGCTCATGACTCACTATTGAGTATGCAAAAGGACATCGGATGGCTTTGAAAATGATTCCTAGAGTGTAGCTGATGTTGCTATGATGAGTGAGAAGTATTTTCCCTTCTTTTTCCCTTCCCTGTTGGTGTCTGGTCCACAAACAGCCTCCAGCCCTCCAGAGCCACCCTGCAATACTCGTTGAGTACTGAGCAGATGCTGAGCAATTGCTCTAGCATAGTCCTGCTTGGCTCAGAGAATCCAAAGACAAGCTGTCAGTTCTGTGGTTCTCTTCCTGTGTCTAATGTGCAGAACAGCTAGATAAATTAGCTAGAATTGTGTCACCTCTAAGCACCTAAGTATGTCTGAAAATATCATGATGCCTGTTTTCCTGAGTGGTACATATCACTGCTAATAGATTTTTCCTAGTTAATCAAGATGTTCATAAAAGGCAACCCCACATGATAAAGGATTGAGTTCTAGGATGTTTCAGTGTAATGTATTAATCTTAACCCTTGATTGCAAATTAATGCTAGAAGGATCAGGTATTCCTTCTGTAATTATTTTGAGGAGAGAGAAAGCTCCATTTTACCTGGACTCAGTAATTCAAACATATTCATTGTTCTTAAGCAATAGGTGATGCTAATTATGTGCTTTAGTTTGTTGATAGCAAAGCGTCATATGCCTTGGCTTTAGTAATAAGGTGAGGATTTATATTTGAACTTTCACACTTTTTATAAGAATTATAAATAAATGTTTATCTATTTCAGCTCTTTGGCTGGCTTTTTCGAAGATTTCATTTTGAGAGTGTTATCTTTGGCATTCTAACAGTGATGTCAATACAAGGCTGTGCAAACCTCCGTAATCAGTGGAGCATACGAGGAGAGTTTACTAATTTGCCTCAGGAAGAACTTCTACAATGGATCAAATACAATACCAGACCAGGTATGTAACTACTCAGTTATATGTATTCTCACTTTTACCCATATGCAACACATGTAGTTCTAACCAGTTGGCATTCTATATATGTGTTTGTGTGTGTGTGTGTGTGTGTGTGTGTGTGTGTGTAGTTGGACTTACTGGAGTTAACTTACAGTTGCTTGGCTTTACAGTAGTGTGGAGCAATACACATTAAGTACAAACTGTGCTTCAGATTTGAACTGTAGTGTTTCCCAGGCGAGGCCTAATAGTCTGTTGTGATACAGTGTTACCGGCATTTCATAGATACTATATTTTGTGTTTTCCTTCAAAGTTAACACTGAGAATACTTGTGATAGTTGAAAATAAACATTCAGTTGTTTCGGTTGACCTGAATAACATGCCTTGTTTTTATTACTGATTTTATTGTGCTGATTAAAAATAATCATAACCTTCCTAATTACATGAACATTTATCATACAAAAATGTCAGAAAGTAAGCTTTGGGTCTTTTGGTCTTCCAATAAACAAGATGGAAACGGATGGCAGGTGGTAGATTTTGATATATTCCTAGTTCTGACCAAATGCATACACAGCACTCAAAAAGTACCACTAATAAGTAATGAACTGGCTTGATGAAATGTATGAATGATCTACACTCAGACAGAGGAAACAAAGAGAACATAACGATGAGTATTTTCAGACCATCTGAGGAGAGACCGCAGTGTCCTCTGGCACATCCACAAGACCATACTCTTCACAACACATGGCGTCCTTTGAGAAAATGCACCCTGAGACTTGCCTTTCATAGCAGTCTCTCATCTCCTAGCATTTTAAGCGCTTTAACTTCATTGCAAGATATGAAATATCCCCTTGTCCCGCTTCCTGTGCATTGCTCCCACGTGGCAGGAAGAGGCCGAGAGGCTGAGCGGTGCGTCCTCTGTGTGTGCAGCCTGGGTGACTCACTTCACTGCCCCTGTGCAGGAAGTGTAGCTCTCCCCTCATAGAGGCATGCGGGTGGAATCACTTAATCCTTGGGACAATATTGAGCACGGACCCTAGCACCAGTGTAACAAAAGTGAGCTGTTAGAATAGCAGGCAATGAGTAAATACGGAGTGAATAAAAAGAATGATGTCCATGATTACTGTGTGTGTGTGTGTGTGTGTGTGTGTGTGTGTGTGTGTTTCCAGGAAGTGAACCCAGGGCCTTGAATATGCAAGACAAGCACTCTACCAATGACCTTCACCCAAAACCCTGTGGTTTTTATTTAAATATGCTTCATCTTTCTTAATTTGAATTCAAATACTGTGGATAAGTTTAACTTTTGGTTTTCTTGCTTTTCAGATGCTGTTTTTGCAGGCACCATGCAGACAATGGCGAGCATCAAGCTGTCCACACTGCACCCCATTGTGAACCACCCACACTACGAGGATGCAGACTTGAGGTTGGCAACCACTGACTGTCTCGCCCTGACTCACGCTCTGCCTGCTGCTGGTGCTTAGGGACAGGGAATGGTTACACACACATGCACACGCACACGCACACACACACGTGTGCGCGCACATTCTCATCCTCATATTCATCTTTGAAGTTTGAGAAAAATATGTAGTAAACATCCAAAAATGATAGTATAAGCTGGGTTCCTCTGAAGCAGTTTTAATAAATGTCAGAAGAGTGAAAAAAGGAAAACTTTATTTTTGCTTAGTGAAAAGTGTCACATGTATATGTATATACATGTGACATATATGGGGGGGGAAGAGAAAGAGAGAGAGAGGATGAGAATGAATTAGTTTTCCAGGAGAACTCATAAGTAGCAGTGAAAGGAGGCTGGCTACCTTAAATTTTCATCAAAGCATGCAATATGGCAAATTTCATATACTTTATTTTCCTCTTTAAAGAAGTCATTAGCCACCAAGAAGATCTAAAATATTTCTTCCATCAGGCAAAGCTGAATGTGAAAACTGTAGTTTACATTGAGGGCTAAAAGTTTTGTGTTCTTTACATGGCTGCTTTTTAAAACTTATCTTGATCATTCTGTTAGTTGTCTGGGTAATCTTTCCTTGTTAGGTCTATTGTTAGAGGTAAATTTTTAAAGGTTTATGTCTGGTTGTGGTGATTAGATATCCTCTATGTCCCAAATCCTAAGTAACATTTAATGTACAAATGATCCGTTCTTCAAGACTTTATAAGAATTCCAGCTTAAGACCAAACTATCTCCTGTACCATAGCTTAGTGACCACCTGTGATTCTGAAAGGTGCTTTTTCTTTTTTTATGTACATATTTATTTTACCTTTTTCTTTTGCACTGCTGAGGATTGAACCCAGGGCCTTGTACGTGTTGGGCAAGCATCTCCCATGGGCCGCATCTCCCATGGGCCACATCCCCAGCACTGAGGTGCTTTTTGTACCTGTTCCAACACCCTAGATGTCTGTGGTGTACATGTTGTATTTGCTTTATTCAACTTCAACTCACCTATTTTTCTGAGCTTCTATAGATGAAATTCTCCACTGAAGTAACCTTTCACTATATTCAGTCTCTATCAGAATTATTTATTCCATGTCCAGACTAATTTTGTGGATTATCTGAAGCACAGTTTACATCCTAAGCTCTTATTCTGCTAGTACAATTTTAGATGAAGCTGTAAGTTAACAAGCAGAATATGCAAAATTCAAACTGCTCTAAGTTTTAGCACATTCAAAATCGAAGGAGGAATGTGGAAAGGGCAATCTCAAAAGTAAGCATATTATTTTCATGTACATCAATACTCCATCCAGTGAGGCTTGTAACTTCAAGTTGCTAGCCAGTTTTCTTTAGTCTATTATCATTTATTTAAAATTCTTCTTATAATTATTGTTGTTTCAATTTAAAGGGCCCGAACAAAAATAGCTTATTCAGTATATAGTCGAAAATCTGCGAAAGAAGTGAGAAATAAATTGCTGGCGTTACATGTGAATTATTATGTTTTAGAAGAATCATGGTGTATTTGGAAAACCAAGTGAGTATTAACACTATGCTATATCATGTGTCATATTCTAAAGCAGCAAATGTTTCACTCTAATTACAGTAGTCTTGATTCTTCAAGACTTTCTATTTTCAATAAATTTCATTAAACTATTAACCTGGTATTTTGGCTAAAAATTTCACCTGGAGAAGTAAGATTATGTTGTCATTTAAGTAGAATCTAATTCAAAAATATATTTTTCATGTTAGAGTTAGCAGACAAGGACATTAGAACAGTTAAATTAATTGTGTTTCATATGGCCAAAAAGTTGAAACATGGAAAACATTTTTTATGTAGAAAAGGAATTTATTGCATTATAAACACTAACATAGTTACTCATGGAGAGTAACAGGCATGCTGGTGAAACAGGTCACCTAAAATGGAGATGGTATCAAACTAGTGGTCAAGGACTAACTCCTAAAAAAGCAACTCTTATCAAGGATTAATTTAACTTTCAAACCAAAAGCTAACAAATCACCCTTGAGGCACAACTGTCAAGTAAAAACATACAACACAACTTGGTGGTCCAAGTTAAAATAACAACAAAAACCATTTCACAGAAAGGAAAGGAGTAATAGGAAAACAACTCAAGAAATACATTAACAAGCAAAACTATATGGAGAAGAAGGAATGTGTAGCTTTGACTTAACTGAAGAAACCAAGAGAACACTGGTCTACATTTGGAAATACGCATCCTGGAAAGTCAGGTATGAAGATTTACGGTAGGAATCTATGACTTGATTCTCCCCTAATCCCTGAATAAAAACGACATCTTACAGTACTCATATTTCATGGCTGAGACACCTAACCTCACTTGGCTCTATTCCTTACTCGCTCTAGCCTGAAAAAGTCAGAAAAACTTGGGGATATATCTTAAGTAGAAAAACGAATAACACATTATATTCCCCTTCCTTTAGCTACTTTAGACCTAGATTTGTTAGTATAACATTCCTGAAGAGATTTAAGTATAAGTCTGGTTTTGCTGAATCAAGTACCCCAGTTAATATGTAGAAAACACCCACTTTTTAGACTAATATAGTATTATTGATGGTATCTATTATGAAGAGATAGCTGAACAAGGTCTGTATGTCTCAAAACCAGTGTTAAATCAGTCTCAGGGTTGAGAGGAAAAAAAGGGGAGTCTAAAGTCTAAAATCACAAGTGAAGAGATATCTAGGATCCTTGTCCTTCTGGATCTACACTTCCTTCAGGGTCTTCCTCACTATAAATGTTCTCTGCCATCTGCCACACTTACATGATATTGTCTCCTGTTACAGAACGAATCACCCAGGGTTCAATGGGATTCCAGGAAAAATCAAATGCCTTTGTAGTGGGATCACCATAAATAAATAATAACTCATATGGACCATCTTCTGCACCTTCTGGAGATTGCTCTTCTCCAATTTTACTTAAATCCCAGACATTCAGTCTGCAGTCAGTACTACTGGAAGCCAGAATACTCTGATTGTGAGCTGACCACTGAACCTGGAATATTGCATCCTTATGTGATTCAAAGGAATGCAACTTAAGTTTCATATTTCTTAGATTCCACAAGCAACAATCTTGTCATCTGATCCTGTAGCAAGAATGAATTCACTATAAAGACTGAAAGAGAAAGGCAGTTCACCTCCACAAGTGTGAATATCAACTGAGTGGCTTGGTTTGGAAGTGTTGTTTGACTGAGTATCCCAAATCATAAGTTTCTGGTCGTCAGCAACTGACCCAAACAGAGACTCATGGAGCAGGTGCCAGGAAACATCTGCTTCTACTGTCGTATGCCCTGTGAGGATGGTCTTCGAATCCACCACTCTTCCTTTGGAACAGCAATGATATTCCATAGGCAAATGCTATGGTCATCTGAAGCACTAAGTCAGTGCCCACCACTGAGATTTGGGTTCCAAGAAAGCCCATAGTCTTCCTTCTGTTGTCCATGGAGACTCAAGTCTGGGTTGCACTCTCCAGAGTGGTCTGGTTTAGAAGGATGCTTTGTATAGTCAAAAGCAAGAACGTCACTGGATGGAGTCTTTGTTGCAATGATGCAAGTGTTCCGGAGCCCTATTTACTTCTCCTTCGTGGTTGATCTTGATTTCCATTTCAATTTTCCTGCTAACAGAGCCAAAACCTACAAATTCTCCTTTCTCACTGTAACACATCAAACTGGGCATCATCATTAGGGAGCTGTCCACTGGTTATCTCAAGGTGGTTTTGTTCATCTGATGTGTGTGTCCCCAGGACAAGTCCGTGAATGCTGAAATCTTTCCCTTCTGGTCTAGTTACATCTGGAAGCCACTGCGCAGTTAGGCTGGGCCACTCTAGAGCATGGGTCATCACCAAATCATAAAGAAAAGGCTTGTTCTTTTTCCGTAGTTTGAAGTCCTCATTGATCACATGTTCTTCCACTGCATCATCAAAGCTGCTTCCTTGTCAGCCACGGCAGCAGGAAAGCTGGGAGGACCCTGGGGCTGAATGACATAGGAGGGGAAAACAGTTTTTAAAGATCCCAACTGATCATCTAATTATGAAAAATATGAGATACAAAATATACTGGGTAAAATTAATGTCATATACTAATGACAGATAAGACATGGAAGAAGGAAATATTGGTGAACTTGAAGATGAGGTAGTAGCAGTTATACAGAGCATCAGTGATCTGCAGGACAACTTCAAGTGATTTAATACACCTGTAACACAGGAGTCCCCGTAGAGTGAGGAGAAGTGAATATTTGAAATAATGATGGTGTAAATTTTCCCAGAGTTCACAAAAGCTGTAAATACATAGATCTAAAAAGGGCCATAGACCCCAGAGGTAAGAAATATGAAGAAAACTATACCTCGGATCATAATATTAAGTTTCTTAAGCGATCAAAATAAAAATCTTCAAAGCAGCTAGAAAATAATGTATAGACAGTGGAACAGATACAGAGTTGCCAGAACATTCTGGTGAGAAACAATTGAAAAAAGACAGTGGATCATCTTTAAAGTACGAAAAGAAAAATATGCTGCCTGTAATTCTGTGTGCAGTTGAAGTCTATCTTAATGAAGAAGATGAAATAGACTTTTCTTAGCATACTAGTGCTAAGAAAAGTTCTCACCAGAAGACCTGCACTACAAGAGATGCAAACTAAAGCCTTTTAGGCAGAAAGAAAGTAGCAGAGTACAGAAACATGGATAAACATGAAGGCATGAGTAGCCATGCAGATGGCGCCACATAGGCCAGTGTTAGAAGAGTTTCTCCTTGTGTAAATCTTAGAAAAGATAATCATCTGATTAAGGGAAAATAAGTTTATTGTGGCATTTATAGCATGTTTAATTAAAATTTACTGTGAGTAGGATATGTCTGGGGGGGTAGAAATATACAATTGTAAGGTTTTTATAACATACATACAGATGTTTCTCAACCTACAGTGGGTTACACCCTGATAAACCAATCATATGTGAAAAATGTAAGCCAAAAGTACATTTAATACACCTGTACTACTACCCATCATAGCTTAGCCTGGACTACTTTAACCATGTTCAGAACACTTACATTAGTGCACAGTTGGTTAAATCATTTAACATAAAACCTATTTTAAAGTGTTAAATATCTCACATACCTGCTCAGATGGGTGTTGTCAAGGTGGTGGGATGTGAAAAGATGGAACACAACATATAAAACAGTGCTGGCAATTCAGTGCAGATGCTCCTCAACCTAAGATGGGGTTATGCCCCCCCAAAACCCATTGTAAGTTGAAAGTATCCTAAGTGAAAAAATCATTTAACATACTGAACATCCTTGGCCAGCCACAACAAAATAATGGTTAGAAGATCCATATTTTTACCCTTCCCATCGCAAGCTAACTGGCCACTGTGGCTGACTGCCCTTGCCAGCCATCTCAAAAGAATATTGTATTACAAGTCACTAGTCTGGGAAAAGGTCAAACGTCAGAGTATGGATTCCACAGCATGCATATCTCTTTCATAGCATCTTGAAGTCAAAATATCATAAGTCCAAGCCAAGTTCACACTTGCAATCCCAGCACTCAGGAGGCTGAGGCAGGTGCATGGCCTCGAGTTTGAGGCCTACCTGGGCTACATAGTGAGTTCAGGGCTAGCCTGAACTACAAAGGAAGACTCTCCCTAAAAAAACAAAATTTACAAGTCCAAACATCCTTGAGAATTATCTATAAAGTATATACTATTAATTGCTAATCCAGTTTGTGAAATAATGAAACAATGAGTTACAGCTAACAAGTCAACAAACAAGTTTAATATGGAATCATAAAAAATGTTTAATACAAATGAAGGCAGAAAAAGTGGAATAAAGATCAAATGGGACAAATAGAAAACAGATAGCAGCATGATAGACTTACATCTCTTTTATGCTGAATCATGGCCCCTCCATGATGTTCATGTCCGAATACCCAGGAACTGTGATTAAATGAATGCTCATGAGATGTGAAATTACCTTGATTATCCAGGTAGGAATAGTGTAAGTACAGGGTCCTTATAAGAGGAGGCAAAAGAGTCAGAGGCAAAGGTGGTGATGTGACCGTGAAAGCAGAATGTGGAAAAGGAAAGGAAATGGATTTTCCTTTGGAGGCTCCAGAATGACTCCAGCCCTGCCAACATCTTGATTTTGGACTTCTTCCCTCCAGAATTGAAAGAGAATCAATATTTTGTTTTAAGTTACAAAGCTTATGGTGATTTGTCAGCAGCAGTAGGAAACTAGTACAAGACAAAACATCACTAATAAAAATCAAGAATCAGCAGACTACATAATACAGTAAGACCATACTATATATTGCCTTCAAGAAATTTGCTTAAAGGTAATGAAATGAACAGGTTAAAAGTTAACAGACGGAAAAAGGACATATGTTGCCACTGCTAGTCAAAAGAGAGCTGGACTGGCTATTATACTATGAGATAAACTACATGTGAATGTAAAGAATATTATCCCAGTTAAACATAGTCATTTTATAATGAAGAGGGGTCTGTTTTTGAATAGGATGTTGCAGCCTTACACACTGATGTACCAGATAACACAATTATTAAATACATCAAGTAAAGCCTGATAGAATTGTAAAGAAAAAATAAACCCATGATATGGTCAGAAATTTTAACAGCCCTCTTAGGAATATGCAGAATAATTAGAAATTTAACTAGTCTGTGGAAGACTTGAATGATGCTATCAACAAATATGAATTCATTGACATTTATAGAACACAGCACTCAAGAACATACTGTAGGCATTCTTAGGTGTAAATAGACTATGGTATTTACAAAGAAAGACCATATTATGGACATAAAACAGCTCTCAATACATTTTAAATGATTTATATCATACAAATATATTCTGATTATAATGAAATTAAAATAAGAATAAGTAAAAAACATTTTATGTTAAAAATCCCCAAATGTTTAGAAACTACAAATAGAAGGTATCTTGCTAAACCTGGTAAAGATAATCTATGAAGAAAGTACAACTTATATCAGAGTCAAAGACAAAAGACAGTTCATTGAAGTCAGAAACAAGAAGAGGAATTCCATTCTTACCACCAATAAACATTGTATTGATTGATACAGCCAAAGGAGTAAAGCAAGAAAAATAAATGAAAGGCATATCACTTGGAAAAGAAGAAATAAAGCTGTCTCTTCAGATACAACTTAATCATCTATAAGTAATCTGGTGGATGTACCAGAAAGCTCTTAGAGATAATAGGTAACTTCAGCAAAAATACAGGATACAAAATCATTTCTAATTTTACATAACAACAACCTATAACTGAAATTTTAAATGACATTTACAATCATAAAAATATTAAATATATGATGTATAATACCTGCACATTAAAAATGATAAAACATTATTGAGAGAAATAAAATACCTAAATAAATGGACAGATGTGCCATGGTCATGGATCAAAATTGTGAATACTAAGTTGTCAATTCTCCCTAAGTTGATCTACAAGTTCAATTCAATTGCAGTCAATGAAATTTGAAGAGCTGATTCTCTAGCTCATTGACAAAGTACAAAGGACTTGGAAGAGCCAAAACAGCTTTGAAGGAGAACAGTTTTTTAGGGCTAATATGATGTGATTTCAAAACTCATTATACAACTACAATAACCAAGACAGTGGTGCTTTTGGAGTCAGGATAGATGGATGAAATGAGAGCATCCAGAAAAAAATACTCATAAGGACAATAGATTTTTGACAAAGATGTAAAAACATTTCAGTGGAATAATGAGCCTTTTCAACAAGTAGTGCTTAAACAACTGGGTGCCTTTATGCAAAAAAAGAACTTCAATTTGTACTCCACATCATATATAATACTTAACTAACTGTGGATCATAGAACTGTAAATCTAAAAATATAAAAGTTCTAGAAGAAAACATGGAAGAAAATCATTGTGACCTTATGTTAGGGAAAGATGTCATTTTTTTGGTCTGTTTTGTTTTTTTGAGACAGTGTTTCACTATGTAGTTCAGGCTGGTTTTGAAATCATTATGTAGCCCAGGCTGGCCTCACACTTGTGGTGATCCTCCTGCCTCAGCCTCCAGAGTGCGGGGATTACAGGCATGTGCCATCATACCCAGCTGATAAAATTTCTTAGATCCAATACCATAAACATGATCTGGGAGAGAATCCACTGATAAGAGATCATTAAACTGTAAACTCTGATCTTTTATAAACACCATTAGGAGTAATTTAAAAATCAGCCACAGTTGGGAGAAAATATTTTCAAAACCTATGTCTGATAAAGAACTTTAGATGTATAAAGGACTCTCAAAACTTAGAAACAACCCAATTAAATTATAATGAGAATGAGATACCCCTAAATATCTAATATATTAACTAAATTTACAAAAAGATTTGCAAGTGTTGTGGACCTGTGGAGACCTGCAACTCTTACTGCTTCTGTGACTGTAACATGGTACAGCCACTTTGTAAGACAGTTTAGCCATTTCATAAGAAATCAAGCTTATACCTACTATGTACATTTAGGCAAGATCAAAGAAAGCATACATCCACACCCACAATTGTTCATAAATGTTCACAGCAGCTCAGTTTTGCAATAGCCAAAATCTGGAAACACCCCAAATATCTATGGACAGGTGAATGGGTGTTTGGAATGTTTGGACAATATAGCACTACTCATCAATGAAAAAGATTGAACTCTTGATACAAAAAATATGGATAAATATCAAAATAAGTATTTTGATGAAAACGACCAAGAAAGAAAAGAAAGCAAGCCACAATCCCAGAAAATGCACACTAATCTGCAGTAACAAGAAGCAGGTATCTGTTTCCCCAGGAAGGGGAGTTGCATGGGACCAGGGAGTAAGATTTTGAAAGGCATGAGAGAAATTGTGGGAGAAATGGATAGATTCATTATTTTTGGCCATGATTTCACAGGTACATACTCGATAAAGTGTATCAAATTCTAAACTAAATATGTGCCATATATTGAGTCATTATCGGTCATTTATGCATTATTAAATCTGCAAAAAGTCAGACAAGGCTTTTTATCCAGAATCTGTGAAAAGGTCTTACACCTCAGTAGTAAGAAGCAACACAAATTTGAGCAGACATTCTACCTAAGAAGATGTTTTGGATGATGCCTGACAATAGAATGAATGAAATTACAAAGACTGAAAGTACCAAATGTTTGTGAGAATGTAAAACAACTTGAACTCCCTTACATTTTTGATAGAAATGGAAAATATTACATTCACTTTGGAAAACAATTTTGAAGTTGCTTACAAAGTTACGTTTACCATACTGCCCAGCAATTCTATGACTAAGACAAGTAATGTATGTTAGTTGGACATGAGTCCAAGAAATCCTTGTCCATGAGTTTTCATAGAAACTTCCTTTATTATCACCAAAACCCCCAAATACTTCAAATGATCATTAACTTGCAAAAGAATAATCAAATAATGGCATCTGCATAGAGCAAAATATTATTTAGCAATGAAAATGAAGGAACTACAGGCACCACAACATCTGAGATATAAACATTAAAAATATGATAAGGTATGTGCGGCGGATGTAGCTCAGCAGCACAGCGCCTACCTGTCAAGCACAAGGTACTGATTTCGATCCCTGGTTCAAAAAAAAAAAAGGCTAAGGTAGAGAAGGCAGAAATGAAGCTTACCGAATGTGTGTGTATGGAATTCTGGATTGTGTAAGGCAGAAAGGAGACCTGTACTGGCCTGGGGCCATATTAGGGGAAGGAAATTGATTGCGGAAGGACACAGGGGAACCTGTTAATGACGGAAATTCTCTGTAGAATGACCAGGGTGGTGTTTACACATCTCTGCACACTTGGCCATACTTAAACTTTACACAGGAAATGGGTGAATTTCACAGTACCTAAATTATAACTAAATGTAGATGTTAAAAATTAACTTTGCCTGCCTCCTTCCATTTGATGAGTTCCATGCAGAGCTCCTCTCTAGGGAGAACATTATCTCATTCAGAGCCACCGCTCACAGAACCACCCAAATGGGAAAGGGTTGAACAAAACAAACGTGGCCTGAGAGCTTCCTTTCTCTGCTGTGGAGTATGTTTCCCTATTAATCCAAGGCAATTTGTGCTCAAGACCATGGACTTCATCAGGAATTCTATTAGTTCTTCTTTAATCATCTCATTCCATAGATGTACTATACCTTTATGTTTGAATAGTGATGATACTTAGAAAATGTGTTTGTTTCATGTTAAAAGTGAGCTTCTAAATACATATTTCTGAAAGTACTTTGAACCATTGTTATTAGGACATGTCATAGGATATGGTTAAGTGGGACCTAGGAAGGCAACAGTCTTCGCTTTCATTATTTCTAAATGTTAAACCTATGTTTTTTACAAATGATACTTTAAAATCTTTGTTAAATAAGTTAGTCTCTGGAAATCTGAGAGATTCTTTATGATTTATGCACTTTTCTATGTATGAATGCATTTTTATGTGAATATTTTCATCTTCTTTCTTTTCAGGCCGGGTTGCAGTATGCTGGAAATCTGGGACTTGGAAGACCCTTCCAACTCAGCAAACCCCTCCCTCTGCAGCACTCTGCTCAGGGATGCAAGGCCTTACTTCACCATCGTGTTTCAGAACACCTTGTACAGAGTATTGAAGGTTAACCGAGAAAGAGACTATACCAGCATCCTCTGATGCAAAGAAGGCATCAAAGACACACTTAACATTCATTAAAACCATAAGCTTTAATAGCAGATGCTTAAAATAAGAGATGAAGAATGGCCTAAAGTTTTTCTGATTGCTAAAGGCAAATTTATTGTTCTCCATTGAATGTCAGCCTTGTTAAGCTTGTCACATAGATAATTTTACTAACTCTCAGGTAAGATTTTTTGTAACTTTCCTAGTTAAAAGTGTTTAAAAAAAAAAAGAAAAAAGACATGGGCCGGGGATTTAGCTCAGTGGTTCTGCCGCCTGCTTGGCAACTGCAAGGTCTTGAGTTCGATCCTGGGTATGAAAAAAATAAAAAATAAATGAAAATAAATTTTAAAAAGCTTGGTCTTTTTTGGTAATATTTGAATCTCTAGAAATTTGCTTACCCAAACAGTTAATATTTCCCCTGATTAGTTTTCAACCCAAGTTCAACAGATACTAACCTGTCTTTAGGACCCAGTGGTTTTTCACTTAATATCCAGATAAAATAGAAATTGTTACAGTATACAACCAAGTTTGTGACTAAACATAATCAGAAAGGAACATCCAGTTAGATTTATCAATGAGATTATCAGATGCTAGATCTTGAATGAAACAAAGGTCTTTCCCTCTTAATGGCCCTGTGACCTTTTGGATGCAGCCTTTGTTTCCAGCCCCCATCTTTTGTAATGCTGATCTGTAAGTCATTTCTGTTTCGTCTTGGATGAGGAAGGTCGTGGTTTATAAGCCTTTTCCCACAATAAAAACCTACCCCACATAATGCTTTGAAAAATAATGGAGAGTGAGTGGTTGTCTTGAAGATGTAGTAGCCAAATGCAGAGTAGAGTTTAACCTTTTTCTCTGCCTGGTAAATGCTAAATATGCCAAATCTGTAATACTCTAATGTGCATCTCCTTGAAGTTAATCATTTTGGAGTTTTTATATTTGTACTTCCCTCACGTTCTTGGCCCTCTATACTTGAGATAACAAAATGCTTTAATTCCATAGGTAGTTCAATTATAGTAGACAGGCAATCATATACAGCAAAAAACACATTAAAATTATTTTTTCAACCTTTAGAGTTGTAAAATATTTTAACATAGGATACAAAACAGCTAAGAAATAACACCACATTTATTTTAGCATTTTCCAATAATGTTTTTGCTATAAGTATGGAGCAGAGAAAAAATACCTAACACCTAACATTCATAAAATTAGAGAAACACATTTTGGATGATGTTTTCATAGGGAATGTTTTAAAGTTGGCAGAATTCAACAAAAAAGGGATGAGCTGTATTAAGAAACTGTTACATATGCATATGATGGTTTCACATGGATTTTTTCCTGTTTCCCTGTACCATGAATGTTAAGTAATTGTAAAAGCCCTTGAAAATCTTTTGCTTTTTTCTTTTTCCATCCTTTCACAAGCACACATTTTGAGATTGACATAGCTCTGATGTGAAGGTGGAGATCATAAGTTGCTGACCTCCTTACCCTTTAACACTGGCAGTGATCTCTTTTAGCAGTTTAACATGATCCTGCGCAGTCTCACCTGGAAAGCAGCAAACCGTGACGGAAGTAATGTGAGCTCTGCAGCAAGATGGAGCTAGTCCAAATCCTGGCTCTTCCGTATTAGTTGTGTCTCCTGCCACCCATTCAAATGATACTTATTCAGTGCTTACTGGGTGGCATGTGCTGTGCTAAGCTTTTAGTCATGTGGATGACCTCCATGAGCTTCAGTTTCCTCTCCTGTAAATCAGAACTCACAGTACCTACCTGTCAGCGTCATTCAGAGGAATAGTGAAATACACTGTCACAGTCCTCAGCATGTATAGGCACTCAGCAAGTGTTAGTTCCTTCCACTCCTCCTCCCCTGAACCACCTGAATAATCATTGCAGCAACATCAGATTACAGGGTGAGGTCAGATCATCTCAGGGTCCTGAGTAGTGTTTATTTGGTGTCCATACTGCACTTCAGCTTTCTTATACAATTTACGCTATTGGTTTCATTTCTGCATATATTTTATTTTTTATTCTTTTGAAATATGAAGAGAGGTATGAATGCAGGGGTGCATGATGGACCGGTTTTTCCCATGCAGGGAAACGTCCCCCCTTTAGATTCCTGTGCTCTTGTCCTTGCACACTCATCTGAAAGTGTGGTTGGGAGTGAGCTGCACACAGCCTGCAGCGGCCCCTCATCCCACTGCCAGGAGTCAACACAACCTCAACAAGAAACTGGGCATTTCTAATTTTAATTCTAAGTTTAAAATTATGTGTTTATACTGTATTGTCTTTCCATTGGACAAGCAGTATGAACTTGTCATTGAAACTTAGTTTTGAAAAAATAAATGTTAAAGAAGGGGAAACTACTTAGACTCTTTTAAGATCTCATTTTTTGGAGCTAGAGCCACCTGGACAGGCAGAGGGGAGGAGCTGGAACCCTGCAGGGGAATTCCTGGTAAAATTAGCTTTGGTGACCTGCTGCAGGTGTGGGAGAGAGCGAAGGTGAGGCTCAAATGGACACCAGTGCCGAGGACAAAGTCTTGTCTTTGGTGTGTAAAGCCTGCTTCTGAATTTTGACTTGTGTTCTTGAGGTAGATGAGGGTGGGCAGACCAGACAGCTAACTGGAGGGAATGTGTCAAAGGTCATGAAAAGCCAGAGGACGTGCAGAACACAGTACTCTTTTTTTTACCCCCCCC